AAAAAAAAAAACCCCTGCTGGTCGGGGCGCGTGGGCAGAGTCGAGCGGTGTTGTTATCTCGCCGGCTCCAGGCCAGTGTGCCACAACAACACTTTTCGCTCGAGAAAAAAAAATGAGGCAAGAGAGCGGTCAAATTGCCACCACTGCCAAAAATCCGAAAGTGGCGGCGGCAGCGCAAAGAAGAGGCGCTGCGCCAGAGCCTGAAATTTTTAGGAGACTCGAGGTCGAGGTTGTCGCCGGACAAAAGTTGCGCAGACGCCCCGACGGCTCAGTTCCGGTTCTGCTGCGCTGCTGCGCTGCGCTGCGCTGCTGTTTCTGCTGCGTTGCGCGCCTGGGCTGCCGGTCCTGCGATTTTGGATGGTTGCCATCCGTTGCTGGAAGTTCCAAAGCCTCTTCTCCAACCCACCAACCTCTCCCCTCCTCTTCTTCTTCCGCTGCTGCTGTTGCATCCACCTCGAAGCTTGCCATTCACGCCTACACATTAAAGCTATCGGATGCACGTTGCTCGCTAGCACATACAGCTTTCAGCCACCTATCTTCGACAGCATAAACCACCACCCTATCGCCCAACCACTCTGGCCTGCAATCCGCTACGCCGACATCCTTCAGGCATCAATCCTGAGAATCAAGTTGTATCCAGGCTCTTCCCTCTACCTTCCACGCCTCTACTTGGATATTCATCCTGCTCACCGCCTGGCGCCGCCATCTAGCACACGCTTTGCACTCCATCCGGGTTCAAGAAGCGCTAGCCAAGGGACGACCCATCTGACCATTCCAACATCAGAACATGTTCAGTGCCGCCCACCGCTCCCTTCCGCTCTTGCCCAACTCTTCGCATACTCTCGGATCCTTCTACCACAATACCAGGCCCTCACCCTACCCCGTGCATCCAACTGCACCGTAGACGGCCGACACCAGATCGAGTCTCTTTACCCCCCGCCTCTGCGTGAGTGTGCGGCTTTCAACCCCGCATTCCGAACGCAAAAGCACCCCGTCGAAGCTGCTGCGGTGATCTCAACTCGTCACCGTCCTTTCCTTCGCCGACCTTCCAGTCGACTCTACTCGCACCATACGGGCACCGCATCGCTCGTCCCAATTCCAACTTCATGTCTCGCCAATTCAGTGCAGATTTCTGTAAGTTCTCGCAAGCTGGCTGCATGCACGGCGTCGCGGCGAGTCGAACACAGATTCGGCACCGCTGCTCTCGACTGCCTTGCCCTTGGCAGCCTGTACTAACTGCATCCGACCCTTCTATGCTCCGGTTCCTGCGCACGATGACCCTCTCCGCGCAAAACAGCACGTTCCGCTAGACGAGCAGACTCTGTCCATCCCCTCACTCACCGCAAGAGCCTGCAGGCAAAGCTGCAGAGCACGCCCGGCCGTACCAGCCCGTACGCCCGCACCGGCGCATTCAAGTCGGGCCCTCCTTCGCGCTCCGGCTCGAGCGTAGGAGGCTCACCGCGTCCCCTCTTTCAGTCCGACAACGAGCTGTCCAGCTCCACAGACGACGACGACGACGACCTCGGCTCCAAACACTTTCCCGGCATCAAACTGCCCGTACCCACCCTCGCCATGTCCTCCCGAAAGGCACCCAGAAATCAAAACACAAAGAAGCCCTCCAAGGTCTACTCGACCAAGAAGGATCGCGCACGCGGCGAACGCAAGGCCAGCGTTCGCAAGGAGCGCTTCGACGAGCTCGACACCGACTCGGACCTCACCGACGTCCCCTCGGATGACGACGCCCAAGACGTTGCTTCCGTCGCCGGTCCCTCCTACTCGAGCCTGAACAAGGGCAAGGCAAGGAGCGTCGACAGCGATGACGACCTCGAGTCGGACTCGGACACCGAGATGGAGCGCAAGCTCGCCGAGGCGGGCGATGGCGAGTCGCTGCTCGGCAGCGGCGCTTCCGGCGAAGACACCGAGGAGGAAGAGGAGCGCTTCATCATCCAGGACGCCCTCGACCGCGAATCCAAGGCCAAGGCGCGCTTGCAGCAACGCGACCCCACCGACCGATCGCGCCATGCTGGCGACCGCAACTGGGCCAGCAAGGGTGATCTGCAGCATCGCGCTCGCTCCATGGCGATACGCCGGGCTAACGGCGACGGCCAGCCCGGCGAGGCTGGCGATGACGCCGAAGCCGACGTCGAAGACGGCGATCAAGACGACGATGGCGATGATGCCGACCTGCTTTCCATGTCTCCCGACACGCTGCGCATGTACGGCCTCCCCGTCATCGACGACGAGCTCTTCGAACAGCAAGAGGCCTTCAACTCGTCCTCCGAGCCTTCCTTCACCGACTTTTTCGAAACCTCCACCGACAGCGAGACGGGCGCTCCCGACACGCAGAACGAAAACGGCGACGACGACGACGAATTCACCACCGATTCGGACGAGGACCGAGACATCAGCGACCTCGAAGGCGGCCTGCTCGATGCGCCGCTCATCGCCCACATTGGCACTGGCAGCGCCGACCAGACCATCGCCACGTCGGAAGGTGCCGAGGACGAGCAGCCCAAGCCCGAAATGCCGCTGCTCGTCATCGAGGATCTCGACGGCCGTCTCATCTACGCTAGGGCTGGCGACGGCGAGGCCGTCTTTGGCTCGGACGGCGAGTTTGAGTTTGTCGACGACAGCGACGACGACAGCGCCGATTGGGAGTTCGACCAGGGCGGCAACCGGCTCTGGTCTGGTGCCGGCAGTCATGCCGGCTTCCTGACTGTGCCCGACGACGACGGCGACACTACGGATGAGCTTCCGGACGAAGACATGCCGTATCCGCGTCTGCTCGTCGGGTCTGTCGCGCCTCGCGGCGGACGCAACGCGCGACGTGCGCGAGCCATGGCCACCAACTCGCGCCGCCTCTCGCCTGCGGCCAGCAGCAACATGCCTTCGCCCTCGGCGCTGCAACACGCCCCCGCCACGTCGACGTCGGACTCGAGCGCAAACGGCAAGCAGTCGAGCGGATCGGGAGCCTCGCCCGTGTCATCCGACGAGCAGGCTGCCAACGAGGTCGGCATCACCATCTCCACCGAAGACCTGGCGCGCGATCCTGAAGGCACCCTCCGGGCTGCCGCAGCCGCGCTGGGAGTCACGATCCAGGAAGCTGCCGACATGGTGGCGGGCGTGCAGGTGCCTGCGATCGCCGGCCGACCCGCCGACGGCACCGACAGCTCCGCCAGCAGCTCCGTGCATGCCGACGGCAAGATGATGGCACCCAAGACACCGGATCAGCGCCAGACGAATGTGGCCAAGCCTCAGATGGGAAGCTTTATGCCCACCTCGGCCAAGTCGGTGCACCGAGCCGTGATCGACGGTTCGCGCAAGGCGCCATCTCCGTTCTCGGGCAAGAGGAGCTTGGAAAAGAAGGGCCTCGCCAAGAAGCGTAGCGCCGGACGCAGGAGCTCGCTGATGGACGAGGGCTTCTCTGCCAAGCGTCTGCGACGATTCTCGTCGGCCAACGACGCTGCATCGGCGCTGGACGAGTACAGCGAATTGGCACCATCGTCGCCCGAGCCGGTGGCCGAGGTGGATCCGATGGAGCTGGACGACGTGGTGGATGCGAGCATGATCTGGCGCGGCGCCGGCTCCAAGTCGCCGTCGCCGGAAGCGCCGGACGCGGAGCGACGGCCGTCGATGCGTGCCTCGCGCAAGTCGTCGTCTTCTGCACCCGGTCTCAACCTCAACGCGTTTGCACGATGGAACAAGATCCCCATGGGCTCGTTCCGCGACTCGCAGGCTGCGCCGGTGCCGTCTCAGAACGCGTTCCAGCAGCAGCATCCGCAGCATCAGCATCAGCAGCCGCTGGGCACCTTCCTGCTCACGCGCTCGCAAGGCCAGTCGGGAAGCAGCCGACGCACCAACTCGCCATTCCGCTCGAGCTCGAATGCCGTGCGCCATCCCGAGATGTTCTCGATCAGTCCTCTGCGCCAGCCGCACCAGGAGGTGGAGCAGCATCTGGATGCGGGCCGCTCGAGCGACAGCACGCCCGGTCGACGACGATCGTTTATCATCTCGCCCGTTCTCTTCCCGACGCGCGGCGGCGAGATCCCACCGCCGTCGTCGAGCCCGTACACTGCGCATACGCCGACGTACAGCCAGGTGGCGGCGATGCGTCTGGGCGGCAGCGGTGCGGCGGGCGATGCAGCCAGCGTGGCTTCCAACACCAGCGCCGGTCCTGGGCGCATCACGCGTCGCGAGAAGCGCGAGAAGCGGGCGCGACGCGCGGCACTGCTGGCTGCGCAGGAGAATGGCGAGGTGGGCTCGCCGCAGGATGGGGATGAGCGCCGGACGGTGTCGGCATCGCCGATGCCCTCGACGCCACTGCTGCAGCTGTCGAACCTGCCGGAAGGCAGCGGCGGCGGCGGCGGATACGAGGAGGGCGACTCGCCCGCGACGGCGTTCCCGCGAATGCGCATCACCGATGCCACACCCACGCCGCGCGGCTCGCCGGCTCCCTTTGGTGCCGCAGCGCCAGGCAAGGATGTGTCGCAGGCGGTCGATGCACCGAGCCTCGCACCTCCCACGAGCAGCCAGTTCCTGCCCGAGGCCGAGCTGGATGCATCTCCGGCGCCGTCGATGCGCAGCAGGGCTGCAGCGACGGACGATGGCGCGAGTGCCACTGCGATGCTGCCGTCGTCGGCGTGCAAGACGCCGCTCCACTCGCCGCTGTTCGGAGGCATCTTTGGCGGCGCACTCAACTACGATCTCGAGGACAAGGATGCCGAGCAGCTGCGCATCTAGACCCAGCGATCCGGCGACGTGTACAAAGTGTTGGCGATTTCAGTCTCGGATCGAGTAACAAGCGCTCGTCAGGAAAGCCTGTTTGTATGTACGTCTTTTTCTTCAGCGCACACAATGATTGATAATGGTTCCAAGTGATCATGTGCTCGAATGTGTGCGGTCGCATCAGAGGCGGTGGGAGCTGCCGTTGACACAGAGCTTGCGTAGAGGCTCTGCGGTGTTCTGGATCAGCCTCAGTGTCAAGAATTCGAGCCTCTGTGTGGAAAGACACCGCTCACATTTCTGCGATGTGGGTGTGTGGTGTTGTAGCGGCTTGGGGCGGGCAGGAAAGTAAGCTGGATGAAATCGGACGTTGCCGGGGTGGAAGAAGGTGGGATCGGGGTGGGCAGGGAACCATCACGTGGCATTGGAATCTCGATTGGGCTTGGAGGGGGGGTGGATGCATGAAGGCGATCCGATGCCTTGGGAGGGTGTATGGACCCTTTGGAGACGTTTGAGTCGGGGTTCGGGCATGCTGGGCTCGATCTGTAGGGCAAGTGGACGTGACGATCGACGGGCTTCGCGGCGGGAGAAATTCCAGCCGCTGAGAGAAAAACGCCGTGCCACACCCATTTTTTTCCCCCTCTTCCCGTTCGTGTCGGCTGGTTTCACTCCAAAGTCGCCGCCGCATGCTCCAGCCAAGGGTCAGCAACACAAAAGGGTCAGGAAGAGCGGCACGAGGTTCTGCTTTCGGCCTTTGTGTGCGCAAGCGCAGGATGCGTACCCACGCTCCCAGCCAATCCGACGCTGGATGATGTCAAAACCCAAACCCTACCGCTTCCCGCCCTCGCTTTACGCTGCCTTTTCGACGCAACTTTGTTTCATCCATCGGAGCTTGTTGCTGCTTGCCACTACCTAGTTCACAAGGGTGGCAGGTGCAAGCACAGCGTTGAGTCAATCCAGAGGAGAGAGGGGGCGGCATCGGGATTGGTCGGGTCCAGCTGCACGAGTGAGGGGTCGAATCAGGGTTCGCGGCGGGCTTGAGCAGGATTTAGGTTGCACCGCATGTGCGTTTCAAAGGGTTCAGCCCAGGGTTCGTGCCATCCGCTCCGAGCTTGTTCCGCCTTGGTACTTCAGATCCGCAACTGCGCCTCGGCCCCCACCCACACTGCCAACAGCTTGTCATGTAGTAAGAGCCGACTCGACTGTTACAAGGCAGTCCCAAGAAGGTGACCACGGAAGCGGGGATGTTGGTGTCGAGATTGCCTGGTCGGGGTGTCGCGGTCGAAGGACGGCACTGCGAAAATTTTCTTTTCGACAAGCTTCCATGGCGGCATGTTCGGAACAATGGCCCGCCTGATCAAGCCCTGTAGCCGCTCGAACTGGCTGGCGGGCGACACGAGGTTTCGTTTGACCCGCGGTTTGGCATACGACGGAGCTTTGGCTCGAACGCCGGGCAAGCGCGTGCGTCTCGCAGTGGACCCTGGGTTGGCTTCGCAGGGGTCTCGAACCCGACCAAGCTCCAGCTTGCTTTTCTGTTGTTTTTCTGCCGTGGCTCCGTTTCGTTTTGCCCCACGCGACGCCAAGTTCAGGGGTCCACGCTTTGCCAGGCAGCCGGGGGTCAGCCATGGCCAATCAAAAAGCGCCACCTTGGCTTTGCCCTAGCAACAGCACTACGATTCGGGAAGAAAAAGACGAGCGCAATCCGGCTGACTCTTGCCAGCCGCCAGTGCGGGCAATCCTCGGTGAGCCCGACCCCCCCGCTCCTCAAACCTCCCCGGGCTGGGGCAGAAGAAGGGGGACCCTGGCAGAGAGTCGGGCCGTGGGTTTGTGTGCATGCGACCAATCAATCAAATCACTGCATCCGCCCTTTGCACACGCACACGCACAGCACCTTGGCTGTCGTGTCGGAGTGTCCGAAGACGGAACGAGGGTAAAAAGTGCTGCCATCCGAGCCTTGTTTTCGGTTGGTGCCGATGGCAGCGGACGATGGCGCGCTTTGATTTTGGGCATCGAGGATGCACTTTGGATGCCTGCAATTGCAATCCAGCGGCTGGCGGCCAAACTGGCAGCGCAGCTCGACACACCCGGTTTCGCCTGATTCTTCTTTTTTTCTCCTCTTTGTTTTTTGGACATCGAGCGCCCCCTTCCGATCGCCCTGTCAAGATCAGAGCTCGAGCAGGGCCCAGCCGACGCGACCCTGCCGATTGGCCCGGCGCTGCTGCTCCCATGCCCAATTGCCAATTGGCAAAATGCGCTGGAAAAAGGTGGGCTGGATCGCGTGCCTCCCTGTCGCTCCTCGCTCTCGTCGATTAGAACCTGCTTGGGGGTTTTTTTTT